CCTGCTCTTGGTGAATCTTAAGGTCGTTTTAACAATACCTTTGAGCCAGCCGAAGTTTCCTCCCTGTCCTCTTGCTCCAAACTTTGAAAATCCTGTGACAGAGAATGGAACTGGACTCGTGGAAAGCTGGGGACCTGGTCAGCTGCCTGACCAGCTGGGAATGGTCCCATTTCCCAGGTCCTTTCTACATTCAGGCTGAGAAGGATGGCCCACAGGGAAATGAAAGTCTTCCAGCCATGTGACCCTACCCTGCCTCCCTTCATCACCAGGGCTGGGGTTGGGTTTTTTATAAAACATGGCAGAGAATGCAGTGGCTGGACCTATACAGAAGGTCAGGGGGTCTTGCCCTCAGGACTTGATGTCTCTTTGCCCTCCGAAGTCTGGCTTTGAGACCCAGTACTGCCCTTCTTTTATGGTGACTGCTGCAGCCAACAGAAAAAAAAGTCTTCTCTCCACTCAGGGCCGCCAGACGTCAGAAAGGACCTATTCATAACAAGCTTGTGCTGACTCTCCCCCACCCCCACCTCCAAGCCTCCTACCAGCCGTGGGTGGGGCAGAAGCGCTGAGGAAAGTTCTGCAGACCTGAGAACAGCAAGAAAATACAGGGCTGCTCCCCGCCTCCACCCCCAACCCTATCTCAAGCCCTGGAGACCTTGAAAAAGGGAAGACTCCCTTCTGGGTTTATTTGAATAGATTTCTCCCAAGATGTTGCCCAGAGAAAGGGAGCAAACAGGAATGTTGATTGGCCAAGGTTGTTTGGCCCCCAGGGCAGTAGTTCTCAAAATTTGTTGTGCATAGCAAACTTCTGGAGTGCTGCTTAAAATGCACATTCCTGAGTTCCATCTCTTGCTGTTGTTCAGTCACTCAGCCTTGTCTCTTTGCGACCCCATGGACTGCAGCACTTCATGTTTCCCTGTCCTTCACTATCTCCTGGAGTTTGCTCAAACTCATGTCCATTGAGTCAGTGATGCCATCCAACCATCTCATCCTCTATCGCCCCCTTCTCCTACTATCCTTCACCTCTAGAAGCTGGGACTCAAGAAGTGTATGTAGGGACTTCCCTGGTGGTCTAGTGGCTAAGACTGCGCTCATAATGCAGGAGGCCTGGGTTTGAGCCCTGGTCTGGAAACTAGATCCCACGTACTGCAACTAAAAGATCCTGTACGCTGCAGTGAAGACTGAAGATCCCACATGCTGCAACTAAGACTTGGCACAGCCAAATAAATATTAAAAAAAAAAAACAACTATGTAGGGTCTCCGTGTGCATTTTAAAAGGTGGAGGGGCTCATTGTGCCCCCAAACCTGAGGCAGAGTTGGGACATTTCTCCCCATCCCAAGCACAGTTCAGTTCAGTTCAGTTGCTCAATCCTGTCTGACTGTTGGCAACCCCATGGACTGCAGCATGCCAGGCTTCCCTGTCCATCACCAACTCCCAGAGATTGCTCAACTCATGTCCATTGAGTCGGTGATGCCATCCAACCATCTCATCCTCTGTCATTCCCTTCTCTTCCCGCCTTCAATCTTTCCCAGCATCAGGGTCTTTTCCAGTGAGTCAGTTCTTTGCTTCAGGTGTCCAAAGTATTGGAGTTTCAGCTTCAGCATCAGTCCTTCCAATGAATATTCAGGACTGATTTCCTTTAAGATGGGCTAGTTTGATCTCCTTGCAGTCCAAGGGACTCTCAAGAGTCTTTCTTCTCCAACACCACAGTTCAAAAGCATCAATTAGTCGGTGCTCAGTTTTCTTTATCACCCAACTCTCACATCCATACATAACTACTGGAAAAACCATAGCTTTGACTAGACGGACCTTTGTCTGCAAAGTGATGTCTCTGCTTTTTAACACGCTGTCTAGGTTGGTCATAGCTTTTCTTCCAAGGAGCAAGTGTCTTTTAATTTCATGGCTGCAGTCACCATCCGTAGTGTTTTTGGAGCCCGAGAAATGTCTGTCACTGTTTCCCCAAGCACAGCCTGGGCTTATTCAATACAGCTACAGCACCAACCAGCCTGTGGCAAAGATGCTCTGGTCCTCAACTTGTGATCCTCACAGCACCCAGGAAATTTCCTAGCATAGGTAGACCAGTTAAGTCACATCAGGCTCAGTGGGGAGCTCAAGCTCAGGGTGAAAGTATTTCTTAGAGTCCCAGATTTCCTGGGGGGCCAGGGGGGTTGCAATGAGAGGATAGGTGAAGCCTGGTTGGGATAGGAAATCTACACTGACTCTCCACACTGGGCTGTGAACAGCAAGTAGCCAGGAGCTACTCTTTAGTTGCAGTGCCTAGGCTTTTCATTGTGGTGGCTTCTCGTTGAAGGGCATGGGAGCACATGGGCTGCGATAGTTGCAGCTCCCAGGCTCTAGAGTGTGGGGCTCTAGAGTGTGGGGCTCAGTAGGTATGATGCACGGGCTAATTGCCCTGAGGCATGTATAATCTTCCCGGACCAGGGATTGAACCTGTAACCCCTGCATTGGTAGGCAGATTCTTAACCAGTGGACCACCAGGGAAGTCCACCTTTCTATTGACTTAAAAAATAGTCACAACCTAAAAGTTGAGAGTTATGTTTTATTTGGAGGAAATTTTTAGGACTTAAACCAGGGAGGCAGTACCTCAAGTAATCCTGAGAGAACTGCTTCAAGGAGGCGAGCGGAGGAGCCAGGTTATATAGAAGCTTTGCAACAAAGGGTAGGTAGTCTGAACATCAAAAGATTATTTTTACTTATTTATTTTAATTTGCTAGATTATTGTTAATTAAAGAAAACCAGACATCCTGAGTTAAGGAATTCAGTGCTTTTCTGTGTGTGGGAAGATGCATGCACATCTTTGGGCTCATTGCTTTCATATGCATCTCAGCTATCTGGGGCCAGTATCCTGAATTTTTCACATCCTCGATTCCTCAGGATGCTTTTGAGTTGTGGTGTTGGAGAAGACTCTTGAGAGTCCCTTGGACTGCAAGGAGATCCAACCAGTCCATCCTAAAGGAAATCAGTCCTGAATATTCACTGGCAGGACTGATGCTGAAGCTGAAACTCCAATACTTTGGCCACCTGAAGCAAAGAACTGACTCACTGGAAAAGACCCTGATGCTGGGAAAGATTGAAGGCAGGAGGAGGATGAGATGGTTGGATGGCATCACTGACTCGATGAACATGAGTTTGAGCAATCTCTGGGAGTCAGTAATGGACAGGGAAGCCTGGCATGCTGCAGTCCATGGGGTTGCAAAGAGTCAGATATGATTGAGCAACTGAACTGACTGAAATTACTCAGTGCTCACTGTGGAGAGTGGCTGCAGCCTGAGGGCTGCCAGATTGTACAGGGATTCTTTTTCTTGAGTGCCCTTATGGCTCAGGAATTAACTTTTGGAGGTCCTGAATTGCTGATGACTATGGCATCCTTGTTTACTGACATGACAGTAAATATTCCATTTCTCATTTTTTTCCTTCCCTCTTTCTTTTTGGTACTTGTCTATATGCTGGAATTAGAGGGAAATGATATGTTATTTAAAAGGCCACCTGCAGTTCAGAGATGTGTGTGTGAATTGCTCAGTCATGTCTGACTCTTTGTGACCCATAGACTATAGCCAGCCAAGCTTCTCTGTCTGGAATTCTCTGGCAAGAAAACTGGAGTGGGTTGCCATTCCCTTCTCCAGGGGATTTTTTCAATCTGGAGATCAAACTCGGATCTCCCACACTGCGGGCAAATTCTTTACCATGTGAGCTACCTGAGAAGCCTGTAATTCAAAGATACTCATTACTAAATTTCATGCATTTGTCAATGTTTTTCTATGTATTTGGAAAACTTACTGCTTATATAGTGTCATACCCTGAGTTAACTCACTTTGCTTGCATATTCCTAAAAGTCTTAGGCGTCACTTTCCATGGCTTCATGATAATAGTACACTTAACCACTCCCTCACTGTGGACATTTAAGCGGTTTCCTTTATGCTCTATGTAAGTATCACAGTGATAAGCATATTTGCCCACACAATTTTTTTAATCTGTATTTCTTATTTCCTTAGAATAGTGCCCCAGAAGTGGAATTACTGGGTCAAAGAGTGTAAAGCTCTTTAAGCTTAAGATATGGTGCAAAAATAATTTGTAGAAAAGGTTTCACTAATTTACAAAGTCACTGTCTTTTCAATGATCTTTGTAGCTGCTTCATCAGAGAGAAAGGCTAGCTTTGAAAGCATCCTTGAATCTATGTGGCCTCTGCAGGGAGGCGAGAGGGTTCCTCTAGCGGTTTGGTCTGGACTCCCCCTCCGCGGGCACTTTCCTAGTTCTTAGAAATTTTTATTTTCTTAGGATCATTGGGAGAAAAAAAAAGACCCAGGAGTGTTACTGGTAATGGCAGCGTTGAAGGGGTGAGGGTAATCTTTATGTTTGAGAAAGAGCATTTGTCAGCGAGAATTCAATTCTTGGAGATCCTTCACGGAGCCATCCATCTAATCCAAAGTGACCTTTCAGAGACGGGAAAGATAATGAAGGAGGAGGCGGCAACAGGAAAGGAGCGGGAGAAGGCCTCCAGCTGAAAAGCGGCGGCCCCTTTAAAACCCAATTCGAGGCCTGGCCCTTTAAATCCGTGTCAGTTTCCCCTGACGTCAGCGGGCGGGCCGGCAGTCCTGCTGTTTACCGCCCCGCGGCGTCGCTCACTCCCCGGAGTTCTGAGCGCCGAAGCCGCCGCGTCTGCCCGCCCAAGCCGCCGCGTCTGCCCGCCCTTAAAGGGCCGGTGCCCGGGAGAACTGGCGGCGCCGCGCGGCGTCAGGTCGCTACCTCCTATCACGCCCCTCACCCTCAGACTCTCCGCCCCTTCGCAGCCGGCCAGGCCACCGGCTCCCCCTCCCTCCCTCGCTTCCCCCTTTCCCCTGCGGCGTCTCCAGGCTCCCAGCAACCAGCCGCCTCCCGGCTGTCACATCCCCGGCGGGCTCCCACCAAGTCTCCCGGCCGTGCTCGGCCCCTGGCGAACTGGGGCCCCTTCCTGAGGCCCGTCACCCTTCCCCCGGCCCTCCCGCCCCCGGCCGCCCCGTCCCCTCCCTGGTCCCTGAGAGCGCTTCTGCGGCTCCAGGGAGGGGACGCTTCCTAATCTCAGGCCGGGGTTAAAGTTCTGGTCCTGGTGAGATGCTGGAAGCTGCGGCCCAAGCCCCAACCCGCCCTGGAGGTGTCCTGTCGCTTGCCGCCGCCGCCGCCGCTGCCGCCGCCACTGCCACCCTGCCGGGGCCATGTTCGCCCTGGGCTTGCCCTTCTTGGCTCTCTTGGTGGCCTCGGTCGAGAGCCATCTGGGAGTTCTGGGGCCTAAGAACGTCTCGCAGAAAGACGCGGAGTTTGAGCGCACCTACGTGGATGAGGTCAACAGCGAGCTGGTCAACATCTACACCTTCAACCATACCGTGACCCGCAACCGGGTGAGGGAAGGGGCTGGGCTCCGGGCTGGTGGCGAGTGGGGCGAGCCAGCCGACCAGGCTCTGTCAGTTCCCAAGAACAGCTGCCCCCCTGGGTTTTCCAGAACCACACTGGACCCTTTGCCAGTAGTTTCCTCCTGTGCTGGAGATGTTTGTTCTGAAGCTACCCCTTGACGGGTTTCTGAAGTTGCCTCATTCCCCCCTTCTCTTTTTGATCACTTCCTTTCCATCAGCTGTAGTCTAAACAGGACTGGCCTTGCTCCCTACCCAACACCCAGAATCTTGACGTTGTGGGTCTGGGAGCAAGGAAGCAGATATGCTACTGGGCTTGGCCCAGAAAACCCCAGGAGGATGAGAGTGACCCAAGCTGAAATGCTCTGCCCAGGGATTGGGGGTTGCTTATGGCTGAGGCTCCTGGGGGAAATGAATGCAGGACTTTCCAGGCTGCTGTAACTGCTGGACCTTCCCAGCCTTCATCCTCCCTTGGAAAGCCAGATGGCCTTGAAAGTTGAAGGTGGTGGGGATACAGCCAACCCCAGGGTGGGTGGGAGGGGAGAGGGAGTTTGCCTACCGTGGAGAAACTTCCCCACTCTGCTTTCTCTTTCATTTCCTCCCCACCTGTGAGCTGAGCACGGGGCATAGCTGGGTCTGGGAAGTTCAGACCCATGGTGGGGTTGAAATTGGGAGAACTCTTGCCCCAGCCTGGCTGATGGTCTCCGACTCAGCTCTCACCAGGACTGAATTTACCAAGAAGTAGTGGAGTTCAGAATGGGAATCTGGTTTTTTTTCCAGAATAGGAAGATATTAGGTTTTGATGGCAGGCTAGGATCTGCCTTCAGTGCTTGGTTCTCTGAAGTTTGATCTCATCCAGCTTGGAATCTTGTCTCTGTTTGCCCCTATATGTGAGGTTACCCATATGTGGGGTTACCCTGAGGGCTGTGGCCTCTACCCTTCAGGGGAGTGCTGCCCTGAATTTGGGTTTCAGCAACCCAATAACAAGCATTCCCAAGATTCATTTAATTTTATTCTTTTTCTTTAAGCTCTGAGTGTCCTATATCCTTTCCTTCATAGTGCCAGGAGTGGCAATGTTTTCATTTTATAGAGGGGGTAAGGTGAGGCTCAGAGATGTGAAGTGACTTTTCCACAGCCCCAACCCTTGGTCGGAGCTGAGGATAGAAGTTGGCCTTCTTGGCTTTCAACAAGTCCTGTTTCCCCACCTCCCTAAGTGTGGCTTCTGGCCACCAGATGAGCTGTGGACTAGCAGTTTTCCTGACTCACAAGGGAGGAGGCTGCAGAGTACTCTTGCTCTCCTGTGTCCCTCCAAATGCACATCTGTGTGTACACGCATGTGTGTGTGGGCGCATGTGCATGCCGTGAACTTTTACAGAAGTGGGGTCTCCTGGGGGATACCCCAGATCTCCATTGTGATTCCTGTCTTCTCTTCTAAGTCCCTCCTGGACCCTGGGGGCTGCTCTGGCAGAAGCAGTGTGTGTGTGTGTGTGTGTGTGTGTGTGTGTGTGTGTGTTAGTTGCTCAGTCGTGTCCAACTCTTTGCGACCTTGTGGACTGTAGTGCACCAGGCTCCTCTGTCCATGGGATTCTCCAGGTAAGAATACTGGAGTGGGGTGCCATTAGGTATCTCCCCAGCCCAACCTGGATGGGAAAGCACAGAGTGGTCTGTGGAAGCGAGGGCAGAGCTCATGGTCTCTGGAGCCATATGTTCTCCGTGACAGAATTAGAGCCACCATGGGCTTGACCAAGGGGCATTTCCATGTCCTCCTGTAGACGGAAGGTGTGAGAGTGTCCGTGAATGTCCTGAACAAGCAGAAGGGCGCTCCTTTGCTGTTTGTGGTCCGCCAGAAGGAGGCGGTGGTGTCCTTCCAGGTGCCCCTGATCCTCCGAGGGATGTGAGTAGGACCTGGGCGCGGGGTGGGGGGTGGGGGTGGGTCTCTCAGGCCAGGCCTTGATCAGAACCTCCCCCGGACCCTTGTCCAGGGCCTCTGACCACCCCAGCACCCCTCTGTTTCTCCTCCCAATCCCCTAAGACAGGAGGCTGGTCAACAGCAAGAGGGCCAAGCCAGCCGACCGGGAGCGGGGGTGGGGTAGGGAGGCAGTGGGACCAGGGTAGAGGAATCGAGGGCCCTGCTCCCCTGGAGCGGCAGGGCCGCAGTCACGTCCTGACTCTGCCTCGGGCCACAGGTTCCAGCGCAAGTACCTCTACCAAAAGGTGGAGCGAACGCTGTGTCAGCCCCCGACCAAGAATGAGTCCGAGGTCCAGTTCTTCTATGTGGATGTGTCCACCCTGTCACCAGTTAACACCACGTACCAGCTCCGCATCAGCCGAATGGATGACTTCGTGCTCAGGTCTGCAGGGGAGAGGAAGGGGGCGTGTGGGACTGTCCTCCTTCCCAGGCTCTGGGAATGATGGTATTGGGGGGCTCTTCTCTGCCCCACAGGACCGGGGAGCCGTTCAGCTTCAACACCACAGCAGCGCAGCCCCAGGTAAGACCTCCCCGTCTACTGCCTCTCAAGGGGAGAAATGGGGAGGCTTAAACTTGGGGGGTGGGGGCGGCCAGCAGTCTTTGCCAGGAGTTTCAGGTTGGCTGTACTCTCCATGAAGAACTCTACAGAGACGGGAGCCCTGGCCCCAAGGTGGTGGAGAACAGACGGCCTGGGGAGCGCAGAGACATAGGGTTGGGCGGCCATCTCTCCTACTGGCCTCTTGGGCACTGTCCTGCATGCCCAGCTGAGGTTGAGCGGAGCAGTGTGTGGGAAATGGGGCTGCCACTTGTGGTCAGGGCTTCTCTCTCCAGAGAGTCTCCACTGCCCGACCCCGGGAGGATTCACACCCTTCCCTTCTAGAGGGGCAGAGAAAGCATCCTCACAGGATGGGGCTTTCCCCGCCCCACCTGTGCCCTCAGTACTTCAAGTATGAGTTCCCAGAAGGAGTGGACTCGGTCATTGTCAAGGTGGCCTCCAACACGGCCTTCCCCTGCTCAGTGATCTCCATCCAGGATGTGCTGGTGAGTCAGTGGCCCTTTCACGCCCCGCCAGTGGCCGGGCTGCTGAAGAGAGGGGACGGGGCCCAGGACCCTGTCCATCCGTCTCTGCCTTCCTCCCCCGCAGTGTCCTGTGTATGATCTGGACAACAACGTAGCCTTCATCGGCATGTATCAGACGATGACCAAGAAGGCGGCCATCACCGTGCAGGTAGGAAATGCACGTGGCCCCTTGGAGGATGTGGCCAGGTGATTAGCCTTCCTCAACCTTGCTGCTTTGCCCCTGCCCATTCCTAACCTGCCACAGGACTGAGACTTGGTGAGCCAGTCCCCAAGACTTTGGGTCCCCTGGTATTTGCAAGCATTGAATCTCAATGCCGGTTGCCTTTGGGGACAGGAAAGAGCAGAGTACCCTTTTTGGCTACCATGTCTGCCCCGTTCCCCGCAACTGGCTGGTGATGAGGGCTGCTCTTGGCAAAGGCTAAAACCTGTGCTGGAGCCAGGGAGGGAGAGGCATATGTTCACCTCATGACATCTAGTCATGCCGCTGATGGAGGCACCGTGATCCCTCCACTTTTTCTCCTGACTGATGCTCAAACTGTAATAGGGCCCCCATGGCTTCCACGATGGTGGGCATACCCACATTTGCTCACCTGGCAATAGCGTAGGTGCAGAGTTTGGGCTCTGAAGTCAGATGATCCTGGCTGTATCACTTACTGGCAGTGTGACTCCAAGGTAAAAGTCCAACAGGGATGATGATAGTACCTACTCGTGAGGATTAAGTAAAATAATATATATGCCAAGTGTTTAGCATAGCGTCTGTTCAGAAGAGGGTGGGGATGGTGATGACAAATGGTGATTGTGATGTGATGACAACAGTCGTCATCATACCACCATCGTCGTCACCATCGTCACCATCATCACCGTCATCATCCTGCAGCGTAAGGACTTCCCCAGCAACAGCTTTTACGTGGTGGTGGTGGTGAAAACTGAAGACCAGGCCTGTGGGGGCTCCCTGCCTTTCTACCCCTTTATAGAAGGTACATTTTGTGCCCTGGGCCTGGCTGGGGGTGGAGAGGGCTTGGGCTTTTCCTGGGAAGCATTAGAGCCTGCATGGCTGGTGGATCTGATGGGATATAGGTTTTTGGTCCTAGACTCGTCCAGGCCTGATCCCACCAACTCTACCCAAGCTCCAGGCAGACGCTTGTTTGCCATTTTGACATTTTACTTCCAGATGAACCGGTCGATCAAGGGCACCGCCAGAAAACCCTGTCCGTGCTGGTCTCGAGAGCAGTCACGTGTGAGTGTGGGTGGCTGAGTGGGGATGGCCTGGGCTCTGGCTCCTCTTTCAGGCCTGGGGTAGGGAGTGTTTTCTGAATGGGATGGGTGAGGAGGACCTACCCGAGCAGACTGACAGGGTAGGAAGGAGTGTTCTTGGCAGACTTCATGATGGGAGCGCAGTGAGTGCCAGTGTAATGCACTTCAGAGCATCCATGAGTGAAGAGATTGCAGGACTGAGTTCTAGATCTGTGTCTGCCTTTATAGGCAGGGTAATCTCACTGAGCCTCAGTTTCCCCATCTCTGTAACAGGAGTACTAGAATCTGTTAGTCTCACTAAGTCGGTTCAGCAAAATTGGTCGGTCATACAAAATTGGTAGGAAACTTCCCGGTCCTTTAGTCAGGCTCAATAAATATTTACTGAGTGACTGAAAAGAGCCCTTTGTAAAGTGGAACGTATAAGATAAACATAAAAGATTGTGACGGGAGGGGAAAGAAGCTTCCTCTCCGATGCAGAGTCCTTACTCAGCATGTTGGTCTCAAGCCCCTTCTGTCTGCCCACTGCTGGTGCTCCACCTGTGGTCTTTAGGGCGCCCCTGCCTAGAGCCTGCTGCCCTGTAGGTTGCCAAGGGCTGTGAGGATCCCAGGACGGTCTCTGTGGGAGGTCTGGGCGGAGAAGGTCTCCTAGGGGATGCAGTGCCTCAGCTGTGCTTTAAAGATTAAGGAGAAAGAGCGAGAAGAGAAAGTTCTAGCAGAGGGAGGTGCATGAGCAGACAGGAGCCATGTCTGGTGTATCGTCTGCACCGGCTGGGCCGTTCCACTGCGGGGAGATGTGGGAGAGATGAAGCTGGGCCCCGTGTGCCGGAAGGGCAGGCTTGGAAAGCGTTGGTCTGTTTTCCTGCCTGCTCCCTTCCCCACAGCGGAGGCCTACGTTGGCGGTATGCTCTTCTGCCTGGGCATATTTCTCTCCTTCTACCTGCTTACTGTGCTCCTGGCCTGTTGGGAAAACTGGAGGTAAAGTGGAACTGCTGGATCCTCCCCTGCTCTGGGGTGGGTCAGGCAGGGGATGTCGGGGACATGGCCTGGCCAGATCTGAGCCCCCTGGGTAAGCTCCCTCCATGGGGCAGAGGAAGGCGGGTCCCTGTGAGGGTCTCAGGTCCCTGGGCCTCTCCTCTAGAGACCAACCCCTCCTCCTCAACCTTCTTCCCCAGCAGGGAGACCCCACGTTGCTTCCCAGCCTGGGAGGACCCCTGGGGTTGTGGAGGGAGGCCAGGGCTGTGGGTTGGAGTGGGTGGAAGGCGGGCCGGCCCAGCAGAGGACAGCGCCTCCTCCTGCCCTCTGGTTTGCCTCTGGATTCTGTCCCTGCAGGCAAAGGAAGAAGAGCCTTCTGGTGGCCGGGGACCGAGCCTGCCCAGAAAGCGGTACCTACAGAGGGTCTGGGTGGGGAGGGCTGTCTGCTTTGTGGTATGGAGGGGATAGCGGTGGATGGTTCCCGTGGGGGCTGGAGGAGGCAGGGGTTTTGGGATGTTCAGACAGGGAGTAACAGTGCAGGTGGAAATGGGGCTGGGACAGAGTGCCTGTTGGTCTCTAACACGCCCGTTTTAAAGGCCATCACTTGATTCACTCAGTGCCTGGGTCTATGTACCTGGTCTGCCGCTTCAGATAATGCAGCTCACCATGTCTGGGATTACTAACCTTTTGTTCTCTTTCCCTTTCTTCTATCCCGCTCTCTCTATCCTCCCTCCTGCTTGGGACCTTCTCTCTCAGCTTCTCTTCTTGGTAAGCTCCAGGCGCTGTGGTCAGAGGAGCTGGCATCCAGAGTGGGCGGGAAAGGGAAGTTTCTCGGGGGGGTCTGTGTGGGACCCAGGCCGGTGATGCGGGTCTGTCCTTGCTGCTGGTAACTTAGATGGTCAGTTCCTTGACGTTGCAGTCTCTCTAGGGAGGACAGAGGGGGCGAATGTTTCCACTGGGGCAGGTGGTGGCAGTGGCGGGAGTGCGCTGTGTTTGCTGGAATGATAGCGGCTTGTTCTTTGTTGCCACCCTGGTCCTCGGCATCTCTCTTCTCTGGAGTCCTCCTGCCCTCTTCTTGGCTTTCAGCCTCTCTCTGCTTCCAAGGCTAAGGGTCCCTGACTTCTCCCTGCAGGTCATCCCCGGGTCCTGGCCGACTCCTTTCCTGGCGGCTCCCCCTATGACGGCTACAACTACGGCTCCTTTGGTAGGTGTCAGCGCCCAAGCTCGCTGGTCTCCACCCCAGTGGCCTCCTCAGCGCCCCCTGGCGTCAGGTCCAGGGCCACCTGCCCTGAGGTCTCTGCTACCGGCCTCACCACTTATGATTCCCCCGCAGAGAACGGTTCTGGCTCCACCGGCTCCACTGACGGTCTGGTTGACAGTGCGGGCCCCGGGGACCTATCCTACAATTACCAGGGTGAGTGGGCCAAGCCGGGGAGGGCCGTGTGATGCCGGGCTGGTGCTAGCTGCTGTTGCCTCTTCTGCCAGCTGCTGGAACCAGGGAAGGGCTTGCTGTCTCCCTCCCTCCTCCTCCCTCGTCCCTTCCTCCTTGGCCCTGCTTCCCCGATAACTCTCCCTTTCCTTTGAAGGGCACAACCAGTTCAAGCGACGCCTCCCCTTTGGCGAGATGCGGCAGCTGTGCATTGCCATGGGTAGATGTGGGGAGGGTGGGCGCTGCTCTGCCAATCAGCTCCTGCCAGGGCGGTTGACTGGAGCCAGGAGGCTCGAGGACCAGAAAGATGCTTTGTGCATGGCTTGCCTGTCTAATGCCAATAATTGCTAGTTCGTGTGTCTTTTGAAATAGGCAGGCACTGGCCCCTGACGCTGGTGGGCTGGCACCCCCGCTATGCCCAGGCCAGATGTTGGTCAGCTGTTGTGGTTTCCAGCGCCTCTCTTGCTGGCCTGCTGGGGCTTGTGGGCAAGGGTGTTATGTCATGGGGGCTTTGGTCAGCAAGGTTGTGGGAGGAAACTTCTGATGACGTGAGAAAAGAACAGGATGAAGTAGCTGGTGCTCTTCTTAGAGGCAGCCTGTCACCCTTGCCTGCACCCCAGGGCCCACTGGGTCTTTTCCCAGCGGGGGCCATGGCAGTGTCTTCTCAGAACCCACACGGCTGGGCATCTTCTAATCAGCATGACTTCTGCTGATTAAGTCCTGCTGCTCGTGTCTGGGGCCTGAGGTCTGCTCAGTGTCCTGGCCTGGAAGCCCTAGCCCAGTGAGGGGCAAGGCTCAAGCGGTCCCTGGTGGGTGGACTGTTTGCAGAGCCCATCCTGGCTCCCCTCCAGGACTCGGGAGCACCTGATGCCTCCTCCCCAGGCCTGAGACCACCTCCGCCCCCACTCTGAGCCCACAGTTTGCCTCCTCCCACTACCTAGAAATTGTGACAATTGCCCCAGACCTTGGGTTCAGTGCCCACCTGGTAACCCTTTCCCACTTTCTTCCCCAGACCCCGTGGGCACTCGACCACGACTGGACTCCATGAGCTCCGTGGAGGAAGATGACTATGACACTCTGGCCGACATCGATTCAGACAAGAATGTCATTCGCACCAAGGTGTGAGCCCAGGAGGGTTGGCCCTGGTTAACAAGGAAGCGAGATTCTATGTCCGGCCCCACATATGCGCCCCCCACCACCCCTGCCCCTGCCCGTGGCATGTTAGGAAAGCAAATGGAGAGAGCTCTGTTAGGGCAGCATAGCTTCCGGGGAAACTGACTCGGCTCCCAGGCCTCTGGACCATCCGAAACTCTGCCCGCCAAAACTCTGGCCAGTGGGAGGGAGGCCCCCCTGTCCTCCTTTACCGGGACAAGAAGCCTTCCAGGGCAGTGGGGCAGGGGGCTCACTCCAGCTTCTCGCCACATAGCAATACCTCTACGTGGCTGACCTGGCGCGCAAGGACAAACGTGTCCTGCGGAAGAAGTACCAGATCTACTTCTGGTGAGCGGGTGGGGTGGGACAGGGTGGTGGGGTCTCGGGCTCTCTTTCTGGGTGCTGCCAGCTCACCAGCACCCTCCCACTCCCCAGGAACATCGCCACCATTGCCGTCTTCTATGCACTTCCCGTGGTGCAGCTGGTGATCACCTACCAGACGGTGAGCGGGCGAGGCCCATGCTAAGTGCCTCTGAGCAGCTGCCACAGACTCTGGGGCGTTGCCCAGGCAGAGCCTCCCAGCCTGAGGCTCTGGAGCAAGCCCAGGTCCTAGGGTTCCAGTCCCAGCTCTGCCTTACCAGCTGGGTGGCCTTGAGCAAGTCCCTCAACCTCCCTGAGCCTCAGTCGGTTCATCTGCCAAATGGGGGGTAGCATGCTAGCTCTGATGGCACCTCCCCCAGTTTGTAGGGATTTTATGAAACGGAAGTGGTAAGAAAGTCAGTCTTAGTTTCCCTTCCCTCTTCTCTGTGCCGTGGGGCAAGAACCTCAGTCATGGTCATGCCTCGCGAGTTTTCAGCCACACCTACTGAGGAGGGCAGTGACTGTGCTGGAAGTGGGGCTTGCTGGTGTCGTGTGCACGCGTGTGCTGGCCGAGGTGGCAGCCCCCATCATTTGGAGAATGGGATGGGTGGTGGCACAGGCTGTGGGCTGAGTCAGGCGAGTTAGCAGCTCCCCATCCCCCTGTTCTCACTCACTGCAGGTGGTGAATGTCACAGGGAACCAGGACATCTGCTACTACAACTTCCTCTGTGCCCACCCACTGGGCAACCTCAGGTGGGAACCGTCTTGCGAGGCCCCCTTTTCCCGTCTCTCAGTGAACCGGTGCAAGGGGCAGGGGCTCTGGGAATGCCCAACTCTCGGGTGGGGAAGGGGGCTCCGGGCCTGAGGTCGAGACAATGCGCCCCATGTCACCCTTTCCAGCGCCTTCAACAACATCCTCAGCAACCTGGGGTACATCCTGCTGGGGCTGCTCTTCCTGCTTATCATCTTGCAACGGGAGATCAACCACAACCGGGCCCTGCTGCGCAACGACCTCTGTGCTCTGGTGAGCAGCCTGCCCCGGCCTCACTCCAGACCCTTGCCAGCAGGCGTGGCCCTGCCCAGCCCTGCCCTGCCCATCAAAGCCCAGCCCTTCCTAAATCACTCTAACCCTTTCTACTCCTCTCTCATGATCTCTCTCTTCAGGGCCCCTTCCTTCCTTCTTTCCCACCTCACTGCCTTACCTTCTCTCTCCCTTTGCTTCTCTCTCCCCAACAGGAATGTGGGATCCCCAAACACTTTGGCCTCTTCTACGCCATGGGCACAGCCCTGATGATGGAGGGACTGCTTAGCGCTTGCTATCACGTCTGCCCCAACTACACCAATTTCCAGTTTGGTGAGTGGGGGCTCCCTCTTCGCTGGCTGAACCTAGAACAGGGACCTGCCTGACTTTGCCCTCGCTACTCACCTGCAAGGATTGAGATCCCCAAGATGCAGCTGTGTGGGAGATTCCAGGGCTGGAGGACTTGTGTGAACCTACACCTTGTTGTTGCTTACTAAATCTTGTCTGCTCTGCAACCCCATGGACTGCAGCACGCCAGGCTTCCCTGTCCATCACTGTTTCCTGGAGTTTGCTCAAAACTCATGTCCATTGAGTTGGTGATGCCATCCAACCATCTCATCCTCTGTCACCCCCTTCTCCTCCTGCCTTCAATCTTTCCTAGCATCAGGATCTTTTCCAATGAGTTGGTTCTTCGTATCAGGTGGCCAAAGTATTAGCACTTTGGCTTCAGCATCAGTCCTTCCAGAGAATATTCAGGGTTGATTTCCTTTGGGATTGACTGGTTTGATCTCCTTGCAGCTTAGCTTGTAGAAAATAGGCATCTGAGTGCTGTTTCATGCATCTGTCAAGTCTTTTCTGTGGAGAAAAAGATAACTGAGACACAGTCCCTAATCTCAGGGTGCTTGGACTGAGTTGTCCTTGTCATCAGGGGAAGTCAGACTGTGGGTGACAGCCAGAGGGCCAGCAGCATGGCGTGGCAGGGACAATTAAGGAGCCAGAGTTCAAGTGCCAGGCTGCCACCAGCTTGCTCTGTGGCCATGACAGGTGTGGGGGCTGGGGTTCCACTCCGGGGCTCAGTGGAGGTTTCCACGGCTCACGGCCTCATCCATCCCTCTGCCTAGACACGTCGTTCATGTACATGATCGCGGGGCTCTGCATGCTGAAGCTCTACCAGAAGCGGCACCCAGACATCAACGCCAGTGCCTACAGCGCCTACGCCTGCTTGGCCATCGTCATCTTCTTCTCCGTGCTGGGCGTGGTGAGGCCCTGGCCCACTCTGCTCACCCGGAGGACAGGTGCACGCGTGTGCACACACCCCCACCCGCCGCCCCTGCTGGAGAGACCCCTGCTCCCTCCCAGGCCCTCCCAGCCTGGCACAGGCACAGCTTCTCCAGAAGGAGGGCAGGCCGGGGCGGAGGGAGGGTGCTTTCCCCGGCGCCTCCTCACCCCTGCCCTCGGGGGCCCCCACAGGTCTTCGGCAAGGGGAACACAGCATTCTGGATCATCTTCTCGATCATCCATATCACTGCCACCCTGCTGCTCAGCACACAGCTCTATTACATGGGCCGCTGGAAGCTGGGTGAGGGCTTGCCCAGGGCCTGCCGGGGTTGGGGCCTCGGGGACCTGGCCTCATAGGAGACTTTGGGGCTCTGCCCTCTCACGGAGACCCCGGAAGAATCACCGGGCATGGAATTCATGAGGCCTTGGCACAGCTGTGCCCCTGAAGGCCCTGGGCCCTCTCGGCCTGCGCAGAGCAGGGTCCAGGACAAATGGGTGCCTGGGCCTTTGAGCACCTTCCCTTCTCGCAGACTCAGGGATCTGCCGTCGCATCCTCCACGTGCTCTACACGGACTGCATCCGGCAGTGCAGTGGGCCTCTCTACGTGGTACCTGCCCAGCTCCCGGGCCCCTCCTCCTCTGTCTGCACTCCTTCCTCCACTGGGGGTTGGGGGTGGGCGGAGCGAAGCTGAGAGCCCCGGGGTGGGGAGGGGAGGGGACCCGCTGACCCAGGCCTCCCTCCCCTTCTCCTCCATCTCTCAGTCCCTGTGTCTCTGCTTCCCTCTAGGACCGCATGGTGCTGCTGGTCATGGGCAACATCATCAACTGGTCGCTGTGAGTCCAGCCATCATCTGTGTCCCCAGGCTGGGTGGGCAGCTGCGGACTTCCAGCCACTGGCTCCTTTGGGAGCCGTGGACAAATATGGGCACGAGAAATGGGGGCCCAGGAGACAGGTGTTGGCCCCTGGGGTTCTAGAATCTTCTGTGGGCCTCTGAACCCTGCCCCACATCCTCATAAAACACAGGGAAAGGGCGGAGGGTTGGGGGGGAAGCCCCTTCCTTGCTCTTGGCCGTCCCCTGCTTCACCAGCTGGTCCTCCCTCCTGCCAGGGCGGCCTATGGGCTCATCATGCGTCCCAATGATTTCGCCTCCTACTTGTTGGCCATTGGCATCTGCAACCTGCTTCTTTACTTTGCCTTCTACATTATCATGAAGGTGAGCCGGCAGGGCTGAGCCGCCTTGGCCAGCCAGGCCAGCGCTCTGCTTGGAATGGAGGGACACGGACACAGCCTGCCTGGGGGAGCACCGGGAGGGAGGGGAATCTTTCTGTCCGTCTCCATCTGTCCCTCTCCATCCACTGAGTTTTGAGGAGGGGAGAGGCTAGTCCCTTCCACGTACTCCCTGGATGCCCGCCACATCCTCAGACTGTTTCCTGAGCCCCTTCTGTAGTCTCAGTCCCACGAAACTGGTAGCACTTCAGGACACAGCTGGCAAGAGTCTCGTTCCGCACAGAAAAGGTTGAGGAGGTGGGGCTCGCTGAGACTGCGGCGGGCTTGGGCCTCGGAGAGCCAGGGTCTTCCCCAGGGCCTTTATGTCATCCATTGTGAGAGGAGCCCCCCAGCGTACCGCCCCCCCAGCAGCACAGGGCACACAGAGACCCCTCCAGGGTGGACCTCAGGGTGAGGACACCTGGCTGCCAGTATGGGGACAGGTGAGGTGAGGCTCTGGGGTGATGGGATGGATCTGAGAAGGCTTCCTAAAGGGTCCATCCTGAATGCCTGGGAAGCGGCTTGAAGGGCAGGCAGGAAGTGGGGCGGGGCCTCAGGCCGGTGTCCCCCCCTGCTCCCCCAGTGGGGTGGGGCCTCAGGCTGTTTTTCCCCCTGCTCCCCCAGTGGGGCGGGGCCTCAGGCTGGTCTCCCACCTGCTCCCCCAGTGGGCCGGGGCCTCAGGCTGTTCTTCCCCCTGCTCCCCAGTGGGGCGGGGCCTCAGGCTGGTCTCCCCCCTGCTCCCCCAGTGGGGCGGGGCCTCAGGCCGGTCTTCCCCGTGTTCCCCCAGCTCCGGAGCGGGGAGAGGATCAAGCTCATCCCCCTGCTCTGCATCGTCTGTACTTCGGTGGTCTGGGGCTTCGCCCTCTTTTTCTTCTTCCAGGGACTCAGCACCTGGCAGGTGAGTAGTCCTTCTGCTACAGTCTCATCATGAGCCCACAAACAGGTCTCTTTTCAAACCTGTTTATGAGCATCACCCGTGCCCTTTCACAGCCAGTTTCACGTTTAATCCTCCTGACATTGACCATGCCGGTGTGGAGGTATCCCCATTTTACTGATGCAGCAGCCGGGTCTCAGACAGACAAGTGACCTGCCCAGGGTCACACAGCCAATAGTGGCACCGCTGGGGTTTGAAGCCAAGATGTCAGGTTCTTCCCTCTGCTCATAGGGCACCTGCTGTGATCAGAACTAAATCTGGCAGGGTCTCTGCCTTTGAAGCAATTTTATTTTTTTTGGCTGCATGGCACAGCTTGTGGGATTTTAGTTCCCTGACCAGGGATTGAACCCAGGTTCTAGGCAATGAGTGTGCAGAGTCCTAACTACTAGACCACCAGGGAAGTCCCCTTTGAAACACTTAAAATGTAGTTCCAGGGACAGAGAGACTGTCAGTTCCTGGCTTTTCTCTGCAATATGATGCACAAGATGAAGGGTAACAGGACAAGTGAGGGGATGTGCAGGAGGCAGAGAACAGAAAGTCTTCTGTGAGTGAGGAGGTCCAGGAAAACTTCTTAGAGGAGGTGGACCTTGCTCTTGGCCTTATAGACTCTGTGGCCCAGAGGCACCATGACTTGAGTAATGAGACGGAGACAGCTTTGGGGTCAATGATGCATTCGCTTGGGAGCGCGTGGAGATGGTGAGCTCCTTGAGGACAGACCAGGTCTTTCTTGGTCATCTGCAGCTTCAGTGTGTGGCACAGACCGCCCTCAGACACAGTCCAGCCAGTGTTGGCTGGAGAGAGATTGGGGAGAGCATGGAGGACCATGAGGTGCAGGTGATGGCTACTGTGGTCCTCGGGCAGGTTTGTCTGACCTCACTGGAGTGTTTTGGAGAAAAAGTGAGCTGGAAGAAGCCCTGGAGGACTGATTGGTGCAGGGGGCGAGGTCTAAGGCAGGGAACCAGTTAGGAGCCTTTGCAAGGGAATCAGGACCAGTGCCCTTAGGGAGAAGTTGGCATCTGAAGGCCAATTCTTAGATGTGGGAGATAACGCTAGGGGTGAGCCCGAAGAGGGTGCTTTCTGGCCTGAGGCTGGGGCTGGCATCAGAGGTGCCCTCCAGCGGATGGGCGCAGGTCTGGCTCGGCCTCGCCCTGGTGGTGTCAGCAAACAGCTCTCCCTGTTCCTCTCCAGAAAACCCCCGCAGAGTCGCGGGAGCACAACCGGGACTGCATCCTCCTCGACTTCTTTGACGACCATGACATCTGGCACTTTCTCTCCTCCATCGCCATGTTTGGGTCGTTCCTGGTAGGTGGGGGGACTGGAGAAGGGGCAGAGGTGGCCTCCCATCCCCTCCATGACTCCGCGTCCACCCCCCCAGGTGTTGCTGACGCTGGATGACGACCTGGACACCGTGCAACGGGACAAGATCTATGTCTTCTAGGGGAGCTGGGCCCCTTGCTTCTCTCATGGAGCCCTGAGCTCCTCTGCCTCACCGCCCGGAGGTTCCATAGTGCCAGGGGCCTGAGTCCCAGCCCTGCCGCCCAGTGCCAGAGGCGGTGGGACAGCGAGGTCCGGCCCAGGCTTGGCCTGGGACAGTCACAGGGTGACCTTGAGCCTCGCTCCTGCCCTCTGCCAGGGATGAGGCCTGTGCCCCTTCAGCCCCAAATGTTGGCCAAACTGCTGCTTTATTCTCAGTGTTGGGGCCTTCCACGGGTCCCTGTCCATCAGCTCTCCGATTGTTGTTCTGCAGGAGGAAGGAGGGAAGCGTTGCCTGCCCATTTCACAGCTTGCGTCTGGCCGTCCTTCCCCTTCCCTCCTGGCCTGGACCCAAAGCCTACCCTTCTTGCCCGAGCTTCCACTCCAGGGCCCCCGGTCTGGGGCCCGATTCTCTGTCCTGCACCAGAGTTCGCTCCACTTCTCCTGGGTCTGCGCCTGCCTGCCATCACTGCCCTCTCTGGTCAGCCAGGATGGATGCGGCTGTCGAATCTGGGGGCTGGCTGGCTGGTGCTGGGCTTTTGGTGCTAAGGCCTGCAAGAGATCCTGGGCAGCGCTGCCGCCTCTCTCTGACCTGCGCTCAGGGCTGGTTCTTTAGCAATGAGGGACAAAGCCCGCAGCGTGGGAACCGCCTGTGATTGAAGAGCTGAATTCGGAGGTCTTTCATATGCCGTCAGCCCCCAGACTGACGATGGCACCCAGTGACTGATGTTGGCAACCAGGATTGGAAGGAAAAAGCAACTCACTCCTTTCCTTTCTTTCTCTTTCTAGGCCCTTAGTCCTGCCAAGCCCCATTTGTGGGCCTTTCAGTGCCATTTGACACTGCCCGAGAATGTCCAGAGGCGAAGGAGGGGCATTACAGAGAGCACAGCTCCTCCACGGCCACAGGAGCCCCAGTGCCTATCTTAGGGGCTCAGGGAAGGGACATGCCCTTCCCCTCTGTGTCCCTGGTCCAACCTCACTCTGGGACACAGGGCTGGCTTCTAAGTTTCCGTCCAGTCTTCAGCCAAGTTCTGTGTTACACATACACATGCACACGTATGAAACCTTGAGTTTACACTGAGTTGCCCTAACTGGTTCCCCTGGCTGCTCTTTCGCCCTGCCTGGTCTGTTCCAGATGCCAAGGTTGGGGAGATCAGGTCAGGCCTCTGCCTTGGGGATGGGAATGTGTTTTATTCTCCTCAACTTGTTTTTATAGCTCTCCCTTGGGCTGGGGAGAGGCGGAGGGTCTGGATCTTTTTTCAGAGCTCCGTTGAATGTCTGTTTCCATGCTATGGTTGCATTTCTGTTTTCTATGAATGAGTTTGCATTCAATTAAAGAAACAACCAGATGCAGTCCTTGGGCCTGTCTCTGCTCCCTCTTTCTGGATGGAAATGTTGAGAACGAGGGCTGGGGCCAGGCTCCTCCATTTCCCAGGTCTGGTGTGCCCTTCTCTTCCAAGCCCCAGTCCTGTTGGGAATAGCAGTCCCTTGACAGCTTCATGTTTTTTCTCTCCTTTGAGCAATGGCATCAGTTCAGTCAGCCTTTACCAGAGGCCTGCTCTATGCCAGGCGCCATGAGTGTGGAGAGGATCTTGTAGGGAGAAAGCCGTAGCTATGCCATCTCACCTGGCAAATGGGGGTAGCCTCTGCCCACCTGGTTTGCAGGCACCAGTCAGGCCAGCTTCACTTCTTATCTGAGCCCCTCCTGGCTCAGCAGGCTGCAGGCACAGGGCAATGCTCCCTCACCTGACTTGAATGGACAGGTGGTGCTTAGGGAACATGAGATGGAGCGGATGGTTGGGGAGTGGGCACCGCGCAAGCTCCAAGAGGAGGAACCTTCGAGATGACCCTGGAAGGCTATTTAAATTTCGGCAGCCTAAGGAGGACAAGATGAGGAGCGGGGCGGGGTGGGGCGGGCTTGCGATGAGGAAGCTGGTGAATTAAGGACACGCCTGAAAGTCTAGAGTTGCTCCTCTTTAGCTGCTCCCTAGCTCCTCTCCCTGCTCTTCCCCGCAGAGGCCACTGGGGGGCACTGTACTTCTGCACTGCTAGGCTCACGTCCGAAGTTGGTTGTGAGGAAAGGCCTTTTCTGGTGGTGCCGGGTGGTGGGTGTGCAGTGTGTGATGGAGTATTAGCTCCTCCCTGCCAGGCCGCCCAAGGATGGAATGGTGCCACAGCAGGCAGCCCAGAGCCCCCACCGGGTGCCCCTTACCTTTCTTCACTCCCTATCCTTCGCTGAAGCGAGATTGGAGCGGATCTCCTTCCTTGGGTGATGGGGTCGTCTGTTTTCCAGAGGAGGTAGAGGCTATTTGAAAAAGAGTGGGGGGGGGGGGGGGGTAATATCAAACCATCCAGCTGCAAAAAAGAGTGGGGGGGGGGGAGACAGTGAGAGAAAAGACAGTGGAGAGGAAGAATGGAATAGAAAAATATATTAACAATGGGAAAGATGTATATACAGAATATCCAAACACATACACACACATACCCTCCTATGCTTCCCTGGTGGTCCAGTGGTTAAGACTCTGATCTTCCACTGCCGGGGGTGCAAGTTCGATCCCTGTTGGGGAATTAACGTGCCACATGCAATTAAGATGCCACATGCCGAGCAGCACTTGGCCATAAATAAATACATAAACAAATACATTAAAAAAAAAAAAAAAAGAAAAAGGCGGGAGGGATGATAGAAGTCTTTGAGCCTCCAACCCCAATGTTGGTGCCTCAGGCCCTGCAGACCCTCTGGTTGGGACTGAGCTGTTGCTGAGCCCTCCAGTCCCACCCCCCCAGCTAAAGCGTGTGATTTAAGACCCACCCCAACTGCGAACTCAACCTGAGCAGGTGCAGCTGGAAAGGTGGGTCTGCCAGCCTCTCTGGCTCCCGCATGGCTGGGGGGTCGGCAGGGATGTCCAGGCTCTGCCTTTCAAGACTCACCACGTGGCCTTGGGTAAGACGCCCTCCGAACCTTTGTCTCCTCATTTGTAAAATGGGAGAGTAATTATGCTGTCATGATGCAGCTGTGAGTATCAAATGAGAGCGTTTGCAAAATGCCTGGCACGTAGCCTGGTCCTCGGGAAAGGTGAGCTCCTGTCTCCCGCTAGAGCTGAAAGCCCCAGGAGGAGAGAGTGGCTGGTTAGTCCCCCACAAGCCTCAGGGAGGGGTCCCCCAACCTCTTTCACTGGACAGCCTCTCTTGAATTTCCCCCTCCCCGCAAACCCGGAGGCAGGGAACAGTGTCAGAGGAGCAACCCTAAGTCCAGACGGCAGGGAAAGCCTTCGTGGTCCTGTCCATAAAAGGCTTTTCCCGGCGGTTCCCCGCCGGCAGCGCGGCCCCGCCCCCGCCGGCTCCATCCCCAAAGCACGCAGAGAATGTCTCGGGCAGCCCCCGGTAGACTGCTCCAACTTGGTGTCTTTCCCCAAATATGGAGCCTGTGTGGAGTCACTGGGGGAGCCGGGGGTGGGGAAGGAGCCGGTTTCCTCTGGCCAGGAGGGGGCCGGGGCGAGTCAGCGGGGGGGAGGCTGACATCACCGCCGTGGCAGCCCTTTAAACCCCTCACCCAGCCAGCGCCCCATCCTGTCTGTCCAAGTCCAGACAGAGCTCACGCCTTCCCGAGAGCCCCGAGGAACCCCTGTAAGTGCATTTGTCCCGGGACTGGAGGGGAGTTGAGCTGGGGCTCGGCAGTTGGCGGTCGCGGTGGGTGTATCGCAGGCAGGACTCTCAGGCTCCCAGGCTGGGAAGCCCACCCTCTTGAGTGTGCACTCCCCACCTCCAGCTGTAGAGGTGGTCTTGGCTTGCTGGGTGGGAGGGGGTCACCAGAGTCCCGTACCTCTTAGCCTGGGCAGCCTTGAACCCAGTTGAGATGCCCGGGGAGACTTGGCTGGTGCAGAAGGATTGATGGTGGAAACCTGGGAAACTGGGGTCAGGGAGGCACCCCATTTTCAGCCATAGTCATCTTATGTGTGGTGTGATGGGCTCAAAGGTGGAGTCGGTTTAGACCCAAGGCTTGTCTGCTATCCAGCCAGGTCAGGACGATGTTGGAGGAGGTGAGGGGTGTGTGTTACGCCAGGGCTGGAGCGCAGTGTCCCTCTGTTGGGTCCCCAGGTCCTGAGCAGCCTAGGAGAAGCCCTGGGTAGCCACGGAGGAAGTGGGAAGGACCACAAAGCTCTTGTCTTCTGGAACTGGCCGGGTGGCAGGATGCGGGGACAGTAAGAGACCCGCCTCTCCAGGCACGCAGCTGCCTCCATGCCCTGGGGGGGAGGTCACCCACCAGCAGAGGGTGAGGTGGCCTGCCGAGAGCCTTGGCGTGATGGCCTGGGTGGTGCAGACAGGGCCAGGCAGGGCCTTCCCCTGAGGTCTGGCGTTTGTTTCCTTTAGTGGTTTTTCAAAGGGTAGGTGGGTAGGACAGGTCTCCCCTGACCCCAGAATTTAGTCAAGCCACCGCTCCTGGGCTTGTCCTGGGTACTGTGTTTTGTTTTTTCTGAAGACTGAGGGGCACAGCTGTCCTGCAGAGAACCCTGGTTTTCCAGGTTCCGGCTGGGAGGAGCTGCCCCGCCTCTTGGCAGCTGGGCTTCTTTTTTTTCTCTGGGGAGGGTAGGCTGATGGAGCCACAGGGCCGGGGTGGGGGGTCGAGGCCGAGCCCCAGGCTCCCTGTTCATCCTGTCCTAGGAGCCTTTGCTTAGAAAGACCCTGGGTGGGCCGCTCTCTCTCCTCACCCCTCCCCTCCCCAGCAGCTCCAAGGTGGGCCTGGAGAGGTTTTTGTCTGAGGCCCGGCAGGATTCTTCTTGGAACCCTCCACTTTCAGACTCTCCACCAGGAGGGAGGAGGGTGGGGGTGGGCTGTCTTTCATCCCCCTTCCTGGTTCTGATCAAAATCATGCATGTTGTCTCTAGATCTTGGGACTGCAAGTTTGTGTTCTTGTCCCTGTGACCTTGCCTCCTTGACTGTCCCGAATCTCCAGAGTCTGGAAGCTGGGGGTTGGAGATGCACTCTGCTTGGTCCCTGTGCCTCATGGGCCCAGTGTGAAGTCTGGGGGGTGGGGAGGGGCAGAAAGGGGGGGAAGAGGGGAGGGAAAGACAGGACTTGGGAGGTGGGGGGTGGGGCCTGGACCGTGGGGGTGCCTCCTGTCTGCCTGGAATGGTGCGGGGAAAGCTGAGAGGAGGAGGGAGGGTGGGAGGCCTGGATGAAGGATATGGGCTTAAATCCCCTGGCCCCAGCTGCGGGTGTGTCTTGACCCTAGTTCTTCGCCCAGGAGTCCTTGGGAAGCAGGGATGAGACACAGCGGGGTGGGGAAGGGAGGGGCTTGGCCTTTGTGTTCTTTGGCATCGCTGGCTGGGATGCTCTGAGAACCACATCCTCAGAGGTGGTCCAGCCTGCGCTTTACAAATAAGGAAGCAGACTCAGGGAGAAGTGAGGGGCCAAGTGGCTGGAAGTTAGAGGAGTTTTTCTCTTGTTTTCTTCTCTCAAACTTTGCATTCCCCTCAGGGAATATGATTATGAAGAGGGGTGGAGGCTGGAGCAGGAGAAATTCTGTTTTTACCACTTGGTCAGGGGCTGGCTTTCTTGGGTCACTACCAGGAGAACGGCTCTGGGGGCAAAAGACTAACATTTTGAGGAGCTCCGCTGAGGGACAGGCCATGTGTTGGGTCGTAAAGACTAACATTTTGAGGAGCTCCGCTGAGGGACAGGCCATGTGTTGGGTTGTCACAGACAGGGCCTCCTGGAAAGTTCCCAGTTCTCTGGGGTAGATACATTATCCTCCCTGCACAGACAGGGCATGAGAGCTCAGGAAAGCCGTCAGCCATGGAGAAGGAAGGGCCGGGCAAGTGGGTTTTGGCAACTTACCTGGGCCCTTGTGAAGTGATGTCCACTGCCTCCCATGGGAGTGGGGAGGAAGAAGGGCTCAGCTCTGACAGGAGAGGGAGTTGGGAGCACACGGTACTGACGCCTCCATCCTCAGACCTTTCTCTTCCTCCCAACCTCTGACCTCTCGGAGGCCAGGGGATGGGCTGGCCTCATTTGATTCCTCTTTCAAAGGACTCTTCTGGTGAGTTCTAGCGCCACGTGGTACCTGACACCAGCTCAGGTGTCTCCTGACCGGCCACACCCAAGCCTGCCCAGCAGCCTCCCTGCTTGGCCTGCTCCCTGCCACTTGTGGGCGCTCCTGAGTGGGGCCAGTCCCAGGCCCTAGGGTCACAGGTTGGGGAGGGCTTTCCTGCTCTGCTTGGCAGATGCTGGGCTCACGTCCCCGGAGAACTCTGGCTTCGTGGTTACGTAAGCTCCCACAGTGGTGAGAGCCTGAGGTCACCAGGCAGGGTGGTGGGGGTACCAGCTGGTGGCCCCGATGCATCTGGCTCCCCTGGGGAAATGCAACTTCTTGGCCAAAAGCTCCTGGGCTTTGCTGGCTTCCTAGCCCTTACCAGGGGTGGGGAAGCTTCAGCCTCTGTAGCTGTCAGCTGGAGGCTGAGCTGAGCTGGCAAAGAGCTGGAGTTTTGGGGTTCCTGCTTCTGGGAGAACTGAGAGTTGGAGGGACCCCCATAGCTTCAGGCAGAGGCACCAAACCACCTCACACCTCACTGGACAAAGACATCTGCTGGCTTCATTTTGAGGGTCAACGTGGTCTCTTCCAAAAGACCTCTCCAGTGCCTCTGTCACCAATCTTAGCAAAGAAAGGGTGCTCTAGACCAGGGATTGTCAAACCCATAAATGCAGCCTGTCATCTGTTTGTGTAAATAAAGTTTTATTTGAACCCACCTATGCTCACTTGTTTACATACTGCCCAAAGCTGCTTCGATGCTACAATGGCAGGACTTTATGGTCTGCAAAGCCTAAAATATGACTGTCAGTCAAATGACTATCTGGTTATTTACCAAAATAGTTTTCTAACTCCTGCTCTAGAGTGCCAAAGATCTAGTCTCCAAGTTCAGAGAGGTTTCCTGGACTGAGGGGATGAGCTAGCCCAGGTGAGTGCCGTGGAGACAAAACCAGGAAGCAAGGGGAGGCAGAGAAAGAGCTAGGGTGGCCTCCCCACTCCCCCGACCCTCAGAGCTGGACGACAAGACCTGCCAGGCACTGGTGATGGCGGAGCTGTTCTCTGACTCCCTGACCCCCTCCCTCTTCTGCCAGTGTTGCTTCAGCTCCCCGCCAGCATGGCCAATAAGGGTCCTTCCTATGGCATGAGCCGGGAAGTGCAATCGAAGATCGAGAAGAAGTACGACGAGGAGCTGGAGGAGCGGCTGGTGGAGTGGATCGTTGTGCAGTGCGGCCCCGACGTGGGGCGCCCCGACCGCGGGCGCCTGGGCTTCCAGGTCTGGCTGAAGAACGGCGTGGTGAGTGACACCGGGGCCAGGGTCGTGCCACTGTGCCGGCGTCAGGGGGCAGGGCCCCCCACCCCCACCCCCACCCCCAGCTGAGTGCCCAGCTGCCTTCTTCGCCTGGCAGATTCTGAGCAAGCTGGTCAACAGCCTGTATCCTGATGGCTCCAAGCCAGTGAAGGTGCCCGAGAACCCGCCCTCCATGGTCTTCAAGCAGATGGAGCAGGTGGCTCAGTTCCTGAAGGCCGCTGAGGATTATGGCGTCACCAAGACTGACATGTTCCAGACCGTTGACCTCTTTGAAGGTAGAGAGAGAAGAGGGGTGGACGAGGCAGGTGGACAGTGGGCAGAGGCAGGGATGAGGGATGATCAAGCCTGCCATGATGACGGGTCTGCACAGCAGGAGTGGCACACACCAGGAGAATCCCACACCCACGGTGGGATCTCTGTGCCTCCTTCGATTTCAGGACCACCTTTGCCCCCGGTTGGCCATCTCTCTGGGGGGCACAGGCTGGCTCTGCCTTGGGTTCTGTTTACACAGTCCTAAAGGCTGTCCCCCCTCCCCTCCTCCTACTCACAGGCAAAGACCTGGCAGCGGTGCAGAGGACCTTGATGGCCCTGGGCAGCTTGGCAGTGACCAAGAATGATGGACACTACCGTGGAGATCCCAACTGGTTCATGAAGTATGTGACCACCAGGGGTTCCCTGCGCCCTAAGCTTGGGTCTCTACAGGAGGTGGGCTAGCCAGTTAGTGCAGCGATTACAGGAAGCAGAAAGCCAGGAAAGGGACACAGTTGAAGGTCTAGGGTGGGGGGAAGTGGGTCCATGGTACATCTTGGCTCCTCCCTTTCTACCCTCCTATCTGAGCCAGTCTTTCCAGCCTGTGCTGCGGGGCAGCTACAATAAGGAAATGAGAGCAGTGAAACGCAGGAGGGGATGGCATCGGGCTAGGAAGTAACAGAGGAAACCAAAGGCAGGTGGAAAACACACAGTCCCGGCAAGCCTTTGTCCTGGTTCCTCCTCTCCCAGGAAAGCCCAGGAGCACAAGAGGGAATTCACGGAGAGCCAGCTGCAAGAGGGCAAGCATGTCATTGGCCTACAGATGGGCAGCAACAGAGGGGCCTCGCAGGCTGGCATGACGGGCTACGGGCGGCCCCGGCAGATCATCAGTTAAGAGGGCGAGGGCTGGTGCCCAGCCCCGCCTTTGCCCAGCTCGCTGGCCACAGCATCCTGCCTCGCCTGCCTCACACACAGCTGTGTAGTTCCTTCAGCCCCGGCCAAGCTTCGAGGCTCTGTCACTGAGCAAAGGTGACTGCACTTGGGCAGCTCGCCCCCACCCCTCAGCCTCAGCCCAACTCCTGACCCCAAAGCACTGCTCCCCCGGCCTGCCTCCCAGCTCCCCCACCAGCTCTGCCGTGTCCCCATCCTGGGCTGAGCAGGGGAGACGTGGGCTGGCAGTAGCCTGGGCGTGAGCAAGTCCACTGTCCTCCTTGGAAGCAGATGCTCATAGAAGGAGACCCAGCCCAACCTCCCTTGATTTTTTTTTTTTGCTGGAATATTTGGGGGGGTTGAAATTCAAAAAGAAAAAAAATATATACATAAATTTTTTTCTCAGGCCTGGCTGCCAGAGTCTGATTTGCCCTAGTCGCTTTGGTCCTGGTTGCAGGAAGTCTGAGCGGAGGATAGGCAGGCAGCTCGGGTTCTCGTGTGTTCCTCGTGTTCCACAATTTCAGGGGGTGAAAGAGGGGCATGGATGACAGTTCTGAAGGGAAAGAGGGGCAGCATGGCGACTTGTGTTAGCTTTGGGGAGGTGGGCGAAAGGAGTGGGCAGAGGGTGACACTATGTGGAAGGTTTTTATTTTGGAAAAGCTGTGCAGAAAAAATTCAACAAAATGTTGCTGTGGAAAGAGAAAACCAAATCATAAGCATTAAAAAAAGTTCCAATCAACCAACTCGCTCAGAAGAGGGGAGGAGGCCAAGAGTGGGAGGAAGTCGCAGCCCGCCAGGCAGCTGGCCGGCCTCGGGTGGGCACGGCCGTTTCCCTGAGTACTTTGCAGAGGAAGACGGGGTGGCGGCAGTCCTGCCGGAGACGCCCCAGTGGAGCAGCCTGGGCCTGGAGGCTGTGCCCACCCACAGCCCCACCAGGCGCATCGTACCGGTCCTTTAGGATAAAGGGGTCAGGGGTGTGCTCAAGGTGGGCTTCTGCTGACCAGGGCTGATGCAGGCAGCTGCTTTCAGGTCACGTGTGCTGTGTTGGGGGCTGACTGCCAAACCAACATGGCCAAGCCCAAGGCTGAGGCTGGATGGTGAGGGGCAGAGAGGGAAGGGCTGCCGTTTCTGGCCCTGGGGTCATTAAAAGGACAGGCATATCGGGGGGCTCTTCCCAGCTTCCATCCCTAAGCCTCTTCCCCAGGGAGCCCAGTGACGCTTCTGCTGAGATGCTCTTCTGGCCACGCGTGCTGAGGGTCTGGGTGACCCACGCCGCTGGCCTGTCCTAGAGAAGCAAGGATGGAGGCCAGCCCAGTGGAAGCCCTAGTCCGTCATCCGAGACCTTCTCACCAAAAGCTCCTACTCCGTTGGAGGAAGGCTCCACGGCTGTTGCCAGCCTGTTCTCTGGCATCGCTGCTCTACTGACTGGACCTTTTGTAGGCCCGTGCCCTCCCTGAGCGTGGTCTTTAGCCAGAAGGCGTCTGCAGGCCTCTGGTCCCAGCTGGAAGCACCTGGACTGCTTTCTGCCCAGAGCTCCCAGGACTAGGAAGCAGCTTTCCACACTCCTCCAGTCGTAGGAAGTGAGAGCCTGTCCCACGGTGGCTGTCAAGCCCTAGGTCAGCACATCTGCGCCTCCTTCCCCTGCAGCAGGTCTGGGGGCAGGAGCTGAGGGACATCCAGGGCACCCCTGCTCTGGGACAGGCTCCAGTCCCCCTGGTCCAGCAGGTCCGGAGCGTGGAGCCCTGAGGTGGCGGGAGCGCCCTCGCTCTCCAGCCCCGCTCTGCCTGGATCCTGGCTGCTGCAAAGGGGAACTGATTCTAGTTCTGTCCCCTCCTCCTTGGCTTTCTGGCTTCGCTGGGGCCAGTGGCACGGTCCACCTCGACAAATCGGGCGAAAGGCCACGTTCCTCTGGCTCAAGTATACTTCCAGCATGTAGTAAATGGTCCAGAAGACTGTGAAGCAGCCAATCAGCACCAGGGTCTGGGGGAAAGGCAAGCACCTATGTAGGGCTGCTCTCCCAGAAGCCTGCAGCCTTTCTCAGCCCAGGACAGTGAGCTCAGAGAGTCTCTCTCCTTCTGGAGGCTGCCTCTCCCACCCCAGGCCACACCCTCTGTTCCCCCCACCGACAAGAGTTAGTCTGGAGCCTGGGGACCCAGGTCTGCCCAATCCATCACTCCCAAGTTGCCTTGAGTCTCCCACTGAGGACAATACCCCAGGACACCCCTGCCTGTCTGCACCTTGAGAGTGTTGGGGGTGATGGTGTAACCGTCTTCCTCGGGGATGTTCAGCCCGGGCGGGCAGGGCAGCGTGAAGCCGTCGTGCAGGTATTTTCCACTCATGGCACTTTCTAGTAGCCTGTGGGGAGCAGAGAGGAGACGAGGATGCCCCTCTCAGCCTGGTTCCTCTACCCGCCTGCCTTGCCCATCCTCCTGACTGACAGCTGGACAGGGCGAGGTCGCACAGCAAACAGGGGAGGCAGGATGTGGAGCTCCCTAGGTGGCCTCCCCACCCCCACCCCCAAATCCCCAGCCCTCTGACGCCCGTGTCTACACCTACCTCTGTCTGTCTCTGATGTCTACCGGACTCCATACAGAGCCATACAGGCTGAGCTGCCATTGCTGGAGGACGCCGGCCTGGGGCATCTCGTCTCCTGGGGCGGCGAGCAGGGCGGTCCGTGAGCCGAGCCTCGCAGCTGGTCAGACGGCAGAAGGCCCGCCTGCCCCGCCACCCGGAGGGACTCACCACATGAGTGGGCAGCCAGTCGTCTAACTGTGTCCCACTGACCCTGGGGTTCTGCAGACCTACCTCTCGGGTGGTCTTAGGAATGGAAAGGGGAGGGTGAAAGGGAGCACTCCAAAGCTAAGAAGTTTCTCCTCTTTCATATTTTAGGGTTTCAGCTGGGATTTTTCTTAAAAAAAAAAAAGTCCTGCTAAATTAAAGAAAGGTCTGAAAACCACCGGTCTGGTGAGGTATACCTGAAAGTGAAAGACTCTTTGCGACCCCATGGACCACACAGTCCAGGGAATTCCCCAGGCCAGAACACTGGAGTGGGTAGCTGTTCTCTTCTCCAGGGGATCTTCTGAACCCAGGAAATCGAACCAAGGTCTCCTGCATTGCAGGAGGATTCTTTACCAACTGAGCTATGAGGGAAGCCTATACCTAATTTGGGGGAAATTGGAAGGGTTGGGTTCAATTTCCAATTTTCTCTTTGAAATACTGTATGACTTCCACATGTCACTTCAAACCTCTGGGTGGGCCTCAGTTAAAAAAAAAAATGGTGAAAATTAGTCCTGCCCTTACCTGCCTACCAGGGCTGGCCGCAGGATGGTTATATGTGAAAGAACTTGAAATGTGGTTTCAACAAGGAATTTGTGTTGCTATCCTGAGGAAAAATGGATCAGTCACTTTGCCAAGGAAGATGAGAGGTAGTATTAATGAACAATTAATGAACAGGTCTCAATGCCCATTCTGTGGATGGGGCATACTTCTTGGCAGCTACCCTTTGGTCCGATGGCACCCCAGGTGTTCCACCTGGGACAATTTCTGTGGGGACTCTGAGATCCAGAGGAACAGACGACACTCGTGAAAGGCATGGCCCTGGCTGGGAGGCAGGCAGGCTTACCTACATCCCTGATGACGAGTCTGTAGGTCCCTTTCGCCCTCTCCCCCCAGCACCTCACGGTGGAGAAGGTCCAGTCATTGAAGCCGTTGGGATCCCTGGGGCAAGAACACAGGAGACAGAGGAAGGTATGGAGCAGGGAACCGACCCCTTTCGCCCAGGGGCACTTTCTTACTGTAGTGGCAGCTGTGGTCTGAGCCACAGCCAACAGGAGGGTGCCATGAGGGGCCTTCAAGTGCAGGCCCTTGCCCTGATCTCAGGAGCTGAGGGGCTTGTGTCAACATGGTGAAGTGGAAAAAGCAAACGTGGAGAGAACACAGGCTTGGGAGTCCCATAGATCTAGGCTTACTGTTACTCTCTGGGGTGCTTACTAGGTCTATGCCTTGTTTCCTCATTTGTAAAAGGAGGTTAAAAAGCCGACTCTCCATCGTCTTTTTTTTGGTCATGCAGAGTGGTAGGCGGGATCTAGTTCTCTGGCCAGGAATTGAACCCAGGCCCTGCACTGGGAGCGCAGAGTCTTAGCCACTGGACTGCCAGGGAAGTCCCTCTCATCGTTCTCACAAGGATTGAAGAAAACATATGTAAAGTGCAGTGCCGAGCACGCTGTGAGCACTTGAACAAGGCAGGTCACAAAGCCAGCGCCAGGGGAGTTTAGGGCAGGGCGAGTGTCCACTCAGCCCGGATCTCTTCCTGGACAAGGCCCTCGCTGCAGAGAGAGCTCAGAAGGTAGGGGCACGAGTACGTACGAGTCCAAGCTGCGGGGGGCGCCGATAAGGGACATCATGCCACTGGGGCAAAAGAGCTTCAGTTCCAAGCTGCCGCGTCGTGGGTGGGTGATGGAGACTGTCACAGCCACGTGCTCCAGGGTCTTCAGCCCCGACATGTCCAGGTCCGTCCTGCTGACTGTGGGAAGTCAGGCTGGGCAGCTGGGAAACCAGCCCCACAGATACTTACGCCCTCACTTCACCCACCAGACACAAAGGCATATACGAGTATCTTTGGCAACCCCGACTGAACCTTGTGAACAGTAGGAAAGGAAGTGCGCGTGCTCATTTCAAGCTCATAATTTAGTTTAGAGTCTAGTTGGGACGACAACACGTAACCAAGACACAAGACAAGAAAGAAATGGAGCCGTTCCCAACATTCATTCATCCAAAAAGTAATTTCCTGAGTACCTCCTACATCTCAGGCGCCGTACTAGACGCTGGGAACGTAAAGGTAAGTTGGCTATGGCCTCTGCCTTCTACCTGCAAGTGGAAAATGACGTCGTATGAGGTCCACATAACTGATGCCAGAGCAGAGATGAGGCAGACAGGTTTAGGCACTCAGTTGTGAGACACACTCCGAGGAAGGAAGTGAATACAGATTGGTAGAGAGTGTTGGTAGAGGTTATTCTAGGAGGGGAAATGACACATATAAAGGCAGAGGTAGAAATGAACAAGTTTCTTTTAAAGGAAAGACAAGTTCTTTGAAAAAAAACAAAAATCAAAAAACTACTGAAGTGATGGCCTTCCTTGGTGGTCCATTGGTTAAGAATCCATCTGCCAATGCAGGGGACACAGGTTCGATCCCTGGTTCAGGAAGATTCCACATTCCATGGTGCAACTAAGCCTGTGTGCCACAAATAGTGAGCCCAAGCACTAAAACCACTGAAGCCCACGCACCTGGGGCCCGTGCCCTGCAACAAGGGAAGCCACCGCAATGAGAAACCTGTGCACTGCAGCAGAGAGTGGCCCTGCTTGCCACAACTAGGGAAACGCTGGCACACAGGAATGAAGACCCAATAG